CTTGTTTTTAAATGTCCGTATATAGCTCGCGCATATCTCCCAAAGTTATCTCCCAAAGTTGTAAGTCTAGAATGTTACCCTATAATTTTCACATTTTTTTTAGCGTGAGAGTTCAAATTTTGAATTTAGGTTACCGTTAGCTTGTTCTATGAGCTGACCAATATTGAAATGTCTACTCCCAGTAGGGGCGTGGCAAGTCGAGTAAACCAATTTTCTACAGTATTAGAGCAAAACTTGGCTACTAAATTGCTGATGGGGTGTGAACTGCAACGTTCTTACTTGTTTATTATTTGATGATTTTTAATTATTTCTCATCCACAAATCTTTCGTTTCGCGGTATTTTCACTGCAGTTAAAACTGTTCTGGCTAATAGGACGAATATTTTTGGCGTGCATGCTAAGCAAATTGGCAGTCTTCTATTTTAGTCGAATGACAATTAGTACTCAACTGTTGGCTAATTAAATCCGGCGTTAGCTGAAAGTTACGTTCGCATCTGCAACGCCCACCCACTCGACGAAGCCCAAGCAACTCCCAACTCCCACTTCTCATCCCTCAATCCCTGCAGTTTCCTTTCACCTTCATCGCTTTCAGATTGAAGTGCGTATTTAGCGTCAAGTGGCATGTCAAACGCAAAGATTTATCAGACAGTGCAGTATATCACCTCGAGTAAATTAGGTAAGTAGCTGCCATCCAATGAAGATATGCATGAAGTGATTCCCCGTATACGATGTAAGACTCTTGACCATGGCAATTGGCTGTCTAAGCCGCAAAAGCGGAAATCACACAAAAGACACCGCAGTACCCAACAAGGACAAGCCAGAGCATCGGCTTGTTCATATTCTCTGAATAGCATCGCTTAAGAACTTCAGCTATGTCGTGTTATACCCGTCGGGTGAGGCAAAACACAATAAACCCAGACTCCCTCTCAGTTAAATATTTGTTTATTACCTACGCAATGTCAAGAGTGTCGAGTAGGGCATCTGGACAAGACACTAACACGAAGAGTGTACCATTCTTACAAGTAATTATTTTCTGAATCCTAAGGTATTTTGGTCCCCTAGTTAATTCAAAGATTTTCTGCATACTCGGCGATGATCTTACCTCTTATCATTCGTAACTTCGTTTCGAAACCTCTTGTAATTCGTAATGGTTGATTTTGCTGGAAAACTATTATGCATGGCGCCTTTATGTCGCTTCATGAGCGAAATTTCGTTCTTCTCTCATTGTATTTACTCATAGATTGCTCATTTTATTTAAATAGTGAAGACGATTTGTAGAACTGTAAAAGCAAACGTTCTCATAAAACACTAAACATTTCACAAAAACAAGGAATCATATCAGCTATTGACAATGGAGCAACAAAAAAATTGATGTGGGAAAACAATTCGAAATTGCTACAGTACCTTAGCTAAAGACGGCATCCATTCTCTATACACTGCGATGCCAGCCATACAGGTGTTGGTGCTGTGTTAGTCC